CAGGCAACCTCTGCCTCCCAAAGTGCTGAGATTACAAGGCGTGAACCATCATGCCCAGCCCGGTTTTATTTTTAAAAAGTTTTTTAGAGACGTGGTCTCACTATGTTGCCCAGGCTAGTCTCAAACTCCTGGCCTCAAATATTACAGGTATGATATACCACACCCGGATGAGTCCTGGAATTTAGAATAAGACCAATGCTTTCCTCCACCAAGAAGTATTCCCCATTTGAAAAGCCATCCCTAGCCTGGCACAGTGGCTCACGCCTGCCATCCCCGCACTTTGGGAGGTGGAGGTGAGAGGATTGCCTGGACCCATGGGTTTGAGACCTGCCTGGGTAACATGACGAGACCTCGTCTCTACAATAAATTAAAAGAAAAATTAGCCGGGCTTGACAGCGTGCACCTGTAGTTCCAGCTACTTGGAAGGCCGAAGTCAAAGGATCACCTGAGCCCAGCAGGTAGAGGCTGAAGTGGCTATGAGCGTGCCACTGTACTCCAGCCTGGATGACAGAATGAGACTGACTTTAAAAAAATGAAAAGCATTAGCCAGGTGTGGTGGTGTATATCTGTAGTTCCAGCTACTTGGAAGACTGGAGGCAGAAGGATCGCCTGAGCACAGCAGGTCAAGGCTGTGGTGGTTGAGAGCGTGCCATTACATTCCAGCCTGGGTGACAAGACTGAGACCCCAACTCAAAAAAAAAAAAAAAGAAAAGCAGTTTCTGGCTTGCTCCTGGGGCACTGGCAGAAACTGAATCATGGGCCACCAAGTGACCATGGTCCCTGCATGGTCTACCATGATATGAAACTTTAACTCGAATGCTCACAGTGGCCTTCCATTGATTCATGGAAACAGACATGGGAAGGCCCAGAAGGCGGCAGACACCCACAGTATCCATGCCTTCCGCTCTGCTGCTTGCCTGCCAAACCACTCAGGGCATCGTGGAAGTGTCGTAGGTCCTGGACATCCAGGCAAAGCCCCAACCTGGACTGCTGGATCTGCACACTGAGCTGGCCCCACTGGCCGTAGACAGTGGGTTACTCAGGTCCTAGCAAGGGTCCTGAAGTTCAGTGGTGAAGCACAGCCCTCCAGGTGGGTAGAGCTTTGGGGGTTGGGGTTGGCAACCCTGGGACCGGGGAAGGAAAAGGTTTACTCACCAATGTTGTCAAGGATATGGAGTCCTGGGCCAGGCTAAAGGAAAATAAAGAGCCCCCAAGCTTGTTTTAGAATTAGGGTAAAGTTTCCTTCTTTGAAGAAACCTCAATACTTCAGAGATTTTAAGGGCAAATTACAGAGGCCTTTCTCTGGAGGGCAGAGGGAAGTGGCTGCAGTGAGCTGGGGTTTCCTGGGTGTACATGCTCTTCTTCCCAGCCTCTTCCTCTCCAGCCCCCACCTCCCTCCACCTAGTTGGGCGCGCTGGTACTGTCTTCCCTTGGGCTCCCCTAAGCTCACAGTGGGGGCTGGTCCCTCGAGCCTGTGTGACTTATGTGCCACCTTATGCTACCAGTTGGCCTGGGACGCCGCATTTGTATCCTTAATGAGTGCAGGACCCGCAGGTCGTCTCCTATGAGAGTCATGAATGGACTTCAGCTGGGCTCTCCCTGAGGAATCACGCTTGGGAATCCTCGCCCAGTATCTCCTGGGGATCACTCCTTTTCATGTCACCCAAGTCCAAGCTCCAACACCACAGGCCTGGAGTCCTCCATGCCCTTGAGCTTGGAGGCCTGGCCTCAAAGAGGCCCCGGTCACCCTTAGAGACCCCGCTTGTCTCCCTGTTCCCACCGTCAGCGCTAACCCTGTGAAGCCAGCCATGAGTCCACAAGCAGTGCCACCCAAAGAGCAGCCTGAGGCCTCCAGGCTTGCCCATCACCTAAGCCTGGACTCCTTGAGGGTGTCAGGAGCTAGACCGCAGCCTACTTGCACCCCACCCTCAGCCTCTTCTCAGCTGCACAGAAAAGGTGATGGAGACACTTCAGGATCAGTCACCAGTGCTCTTCTGTCCTCCACACATGCTCCTAAGAGCATCTCACGTGGGGAAGCCCTGAGGAGGCTGGTCCCAGCTCCTTACGCCTGCCATGAACTGAAAAACTGGGCCTCACCTCACTGCCACAGACAGAAACGGAACCAAAGACAAGTCTGCTCTCAGCCCCACTGTTAACACCTCTTTGTTTGGTCTTTTACAGAATCTTTGGATGTTGGGTCCCTGTCCCCAGTGCTCCCTGCTGCTGGAAGCCAGGTAGCAGCAGAATGTCACCCACTTACCACCTGAGAAACGGAAGATGTCATGGAACAGACCATGGGGCCTGGCAGAGAAGAGGTGCCAAGATGAGCAGAAGCCCAAAGAGGAACTCTGCCTCCAGTCGCTATCCAAGGAGGCTGTCCCCTCCCATGGATCCCTAGGGATGTGCTGGGAGGAGCAGGCTGTGGAGATCCCAGGGCTGTGCCAGAGGAAAAAGCATGGCTCAGATGAACTCATCTCCAGAGGTGAGGATGGCCAAGCCCAGATGTCTGAAGATACCTGATGGAGACCTTACGTTTACAAGGCAAGGTGGTGACAGGACAGCCACCGCAGGAAGTTGCTCCAGGAATTCTTTCCAGTACATTCCTCTTTTGGAGGAAATTGAAAAGGGGTCGAGTTAGTTTTGGACTAAAATGCCCACAGTCCCTCAGACTTAAGTGTCTTGGGGACTTTAGGGGGCAGAGTCCATGCAACTAGGCTCCTCTGTGTAAGGGGAGAGCATCTGGATGTCATGTCACCCTCTCCCACCTCCCACCTTCCTCCATCAGGCTCAGTCACTACCTGGCCATAGCTCCCCATTCACTGACACCTCTTCTTCCCCTGATCATGCACATTCAGAACTGACAAAGGACAATGGCGTTTTTTGTTGTTGTTCTTTTAATTCAGAAAGAGACAGAAAGGGAAAGAAATTTTAAAAATGTTTAAATAACTATTGCAGAAAAGGAGATCTGGGCTGAATGCTGGGACCTAACTCTTCCAGAATGTGGATTAACAGTTTAAAAAACAAAACAAAAAAAGAAAAAAATAAATTATTCTGCTCAATACTGTTTGGCATAATTGCATTGTTTTTCCTTTCTCAACACTCAAGACAGCCTCTTCAGGAAGTACTGAGACTGGCAAGCAAGGCTGGGCAGAACGGTGGGGGGAGCCCTGAGAGGCATTCTGTGAAACTCATCCCCTGCTTCCATCCTAGCCTTTAATCCTCCTACTTTTGGAATTGGGAAGGATAGACTCAAACTAAGCTCTCAACATATTAACTTTTAGGGGGCATCCTATGCCCCCCAACCCTCCTCTAACCAACTCCCCTGCTGGTCACTGCTTCCCCCAGCCAGCTGCAGGAGCCATACCAAGGCCCAGGAGGCTGCTTGGGGATTTGTCAACTAAGAACAAGGGGGTATCTGTGGCATCCTGTTGGTAAGGAGGAGCTTTTAGTGGTTTGGGGGCTTCACAGAAGCCCTTTCCCCCTCCTAAACTTCCCCAATCTGGAAGGGTGAGGACTCCATGGGCAGCTACCCCAGGGACCTCCGCTAGGTTCAGTCATGGGAGCAGCTTCCAGTTGTAACCCCTGGCTTCCTAGCCCTCGTGGAGCGGGAAAAGGAAAGTGGGTTGGGGAGGGGGACGCGTGGACAGGGAGGGGGCATGCAGCGGGGCAAGTGTACTCCTCCCGGCCAGGCTTCAAGAATATGCACGGCCAGCTCAGGACTTGGCAAGAATCTCTGTTGGTCAGCCATACCTGGTAGCTTCAGGTTAACTAAATTATGAGCCCAAAGCGAACTCACCCGCAAGCAAGAGGCTCCTACTCCTCTTTGGGGTGAAGGAAGAGGGTGCATGCAGTGGGCAGCTGGGCGCCCCATCTCCAGCCTTCTTTCAACCGAGTTGCTCTCTCCCTAGAGCCAGCTAGCCAAAGACGTACGTGTGTGTGAGAGAAGGGGGGGGGGGGGAAAGAGGGGGAGAAAGAGGAAGAGGAGGAGAGGGGGAGAGAGCAGCAGGGCCCCGGTCCAAGGGCATTTTCTGATTATTTTCCAGAGCAACAAGAAGGCTGGTGAGGAGGCCCAGGGCCTAGGCAGACGCTAACAACTAAGAAGGTTGTGGGTGAACAGAAGGAGCCGAGGGCACACGTGAGTGAGAAGCACCTTACAATAATGTGACAGGGCTTCCTTGTCCCCTGCCCTGTTCCTAAACCTATGTTCCGGAGTTAGGCCCTGGGCGAATCCCCCCCAGGAAGGGAGGGAACAATTCCCCGGTTTCCTAGTGAGACACGAAATGCCCTGGTCAGAGAGGCCATTCCATAGGGTGGCCGAAGGCAGGGAGGGGCCCGCGCCCTCTGGGTTTTCTCCGTGACCGCATTTCTTTGGTGGGCTTGCACTCACCCATCTGGGCTTGATAAAAGAAACGTGGAGTCTGCAATTCTCCAGAGGCCTGGGCGACTGGGGAGGACGCTAGCTTTTCTCCTGGGGGAGACTGCGCACCCCGGTCACCACGCGGACCGCTCCTTCACCCGGGCCAGCCCAGCCGAGGCCCCGGGGACGCCGCCTTCGGACCAGACACGCCCAGGCCGGGCCGCCCCGCCATTTCCTCCGCAGCGCCAGGTCGGCGACCGAGACGACGCTCCAGTCGAGCCTGAGAGCACCACACTGAGGCCCGAGCCCTGCCCTACTCCTTGAAAAGCGTGAAATAAAACCCTACCCGATAGCATAAGGGAGTGGGGAATTGAGCGACCGCCGGCCCGCCTCCGAAGGCCATTAATTGGAGGAGACGGGGCCCCGCGCCGGAAGCTCTCCTCGAGTCGCATGATTGGCTAAGAGAAACAAAAGCTCCACCCGTCTGCAGCGCTGATTGGTGCCAGGCCCAGGCCGGCCCCCGAGTCTCATGATTGGTGGGGGACAGAAGGCGCTCGCTGGACTGCAACATGATTGGTCCAGACCGCTGTCTGGCACAGACCCTGATTGCCTGGCGCCGCGCACACGTTGAGGCCGCCGCCCTCGGGCTGGCCGGGAGTACCGGGCGGGAGCGCGTGCCGGTGCCTGGCGGCTGGGCCGGGAGGGTCGTTCGAGGCCCGGCTCAGTTGCCTCGGTAGACCTCGATCTTGCTGGCCTTGGCCAGCATGTCGATGATGTGAGCCTCGAAGTCCGCGTCGTGCACTCCCGTTTTCCGGAACTCGCCCGCGTACCGGTTGTTTTCCCAGTAGTGGTGCCAGTTGCCCCGGCTGTCGGCCCCGAACCCGTACACGTTCACCTGCGGGGAAGGGAGGCGCGGCGTCACCCCGCTGCGCGGAGCGTGGAGGACCGCGGGAGATGCAGGGGACACCCAGGCCTGGCATAAGGACACCGACTCACTCACAGGGGGAGACCACTGTTACTTTTCCAGTTCTCCTTCCTCTACAGCTCATGCTAGCTTCCTTTTTTTTTTTTTTTGAGTTGGAGTCTCACTCGGTGGCCCAGACTGGAGTGCAGTGGCCACTCCCGGCCCCCGCAGCCTCGACCTGCTGGGCTCCGGCGATCCTTCCGCCTCGGCCTTCCCAGTAGCCGGAATTACAGGCAGGCGCTACCACTTTTGTTTTTTTAAAATAGATTATTTTTTTATGTGAAAGCTGGTCAAATCCCCCAAATACCCAGGACCATGGAACTTACTGGCAAAGTGGGCATGCTGGGAATGCGTACTGCCTTCGCGGCACAGTGGCCTGGCCACTAGTGAAATGGGGTTCTTTAAATGACAAACCGAGCTGGGCTCAGTGGCTCAGCCTGTAATCCCAGCACTTTTGGAGGCTGAGGCGAGTGGATTGCCTGAGCCCGCGGGTTCGAGACCTGCCTGGGCAACTTG